CCGGGTTTCCTACTTCTGAGTGGCAGGAAATTTGGAAATTGCCAAATTCGGAGCTCCCTATGGGCTCCGGCCAGTACTGGTGGCACTTCACCTGAAATGGAATGAGCTTCGTGTCAGTACCATAGACGGGGTATAACATCGTTATCTGCATTGTATACAGAGGAATCTGTATAAACATCAACAATGAGGGAGACTTGTCCTGTGCTCACCTTCCTCTCCACCCTCAGAAATACACAGAATGGGCAAAAGTTTGTGGCTAACTGACCATCACACCGATAGGAGCTTATTGGACATCCCATTCCAGAACCATGGCCATTAATATGAAGCCCCTCGTCACCCTTGTAGCAGCAGCCTCCATTCTTCTGGGAGGGCTTCCACATGATTTCGGCGGGTGTCCGTAGGAATCTGTCCCATATGTGAGCTCCGGTACTGATGTTGGATGAGAAGATCTGGCTCACAATTCCAATTCACCCCAAAGGTGCCCAGTAGGGTTGAGGTCAGGGCTCTGTGCAGGACACTCGAGTTCCTCCACCAATCTGGTCACATCATATCTTTATTGTAGACTATTCAGTTGGGCTTTTATATATATATATTATATATGTGTGTATATTATATGTGTGTATATCTAAGATTGTGATCTTGTTTTACACATTAAAAGAATTCCTCGGGACAATGGAGCTGGCTTTGTACACAGGGGACAGTCATGGTGGAACAGACAAGAGCCTTCACCAAACCCCAATCTCCCGCTCTCAGCCTCCATAGCCAAGTGTCACACGAGGAAGGGGAAAAGCCTACTGAGCCCTGTGCATGCTCTGACCTTCAGAATGATCTACTATGCACAGGGAAGATTGAGGCAGCAGGAGGAGAGCCGGGAAGGTTCATACAGCGGACCTGAACCTTTGCTCAGTATAAGGAAAGTATATGACTAAAGAAGAAGGTGGCCTATTGTGGGATGTCCAGGAACACTCAAGGTTTTTATTAAAGGAGAACTATGGGGTCAGGGCTTTTCCCCATAGTTCTCCTTGGGGTAACGGGAGGACTTGAGGATTTGCGGTATGGATGCCTAGAGATGAATTCCAGGATAGTGTTAAAGGTTGAATACCTTGCCCTGTGCACATCAACACCTTTTTTTGCCAACTTTTTATGAAAAATAACTTCAGAAGTTCCAAGTTTGTGACGCGAGCTATTCCAGAGAAATGGGGCACCAGGAGGAGGCATCAATAAAATGCCAACATCAAAACCTCGGCACCGCTGGTACAAAATACAATTCCCATCATGCAACGTATTTGTAGCTGTCAATGTGGGCTGAATTATGGCTGAGCCTACGTGGGCACGACAAACCTCGGAATCTGAGAGGTCCAAGTCCTTCTACTAGGCAGCATAGGAGGGACTCTGTGCAGAGATTGTGACCGGTCATGTGGGTGGGATAGACCAGGAGTCTGGGGTGCCCGGGTCCTCCCAATACAGGTTGCATGGATGGGCTTGTGAGTAAGGTCTATAACCAATGCCAAGCGGGCAGGACAGACCAGGAGTCTGAGATACCTAGGTCCTCCCAATCAAAGCACCAAGAGTGGGATCTGTTGCTGATCCTAAGTGGGTAGGACAGACCGAGAGTATGAGATGCCGGGTCCTCCCACTATAGGCAGCGTGGAAGGGATTGTGAGCGGGGTATGTGGCTGATCCTAAATAAGTGGGACAGACCGGGAGTAAGAGGTGCCCAGGTCATCCCACCACAAGCAGTGTGGGTGGTATGCTGGCAGATCCCAAGTGGCCTGGACAGACCAGGAGTCTGAGATGCCCAAATCATCCGACAAGAGCCAGCAGTGATGTAGAAGGACACGGAGAAGGACACGGAGAAGGGCACGGAGAAGGGCACGGAGAAGGGCACGGAGAAGGGCACGGAGAAGGGCACGGAGAAGGGCACGGAGAAGGGCACGGAGAAGGGCACGGAGAAGGGCACGGAGCCTTTATGATGCAAGTTTCAGGGAGCGATTTTACAGTCGCCGCAGCATTAGATCACCAAGACCATATTTGTTGAATGCAGGAAATGTCATTTCTAAAGCGGCTTCAAACTTTCTGTCCCGGCATTCAGCTTCAATAAAACACATCAGTGATTTGGACATCCGTCTGCAATTTTTTTTGAATTGTGCTCCTCACTGTAAACTGTCTCCCGTTACCTTTAGGAGTACTATAGGGAAAAGCCCCGAGCCCATAGTTCTCCTTTAATGAGCCATATTCACTTTGGAAATAACAAAAAGTATTCCAGGTGTGCTGCAAATACATTACACACAATGTGAACTTGGCTTGTGACCTACCCTTCCACGCTCCACCTGTGTTGTCAGCATCACCACCATGGACGAGCCCTGCTCCCACGTCATTTGCCAGAAGTCCGGACAGGTGCTGGGCAGGGGGCCCTGGCATGCAATGTAGCGGTTTATTATGCTGGAAGAAGTGATTTCCATCTGCGGACGATAAAACAGAATCTATTATTTGCGGATTCCTTCGCTGAAACTTCAAACATGGTCCCCGCAGTTCCTAACTTTCCTATTACACCGACCATCAGGATACATCACCCTCCAACATGACCGGCCATGAGGTTATACATATCCAGCTCCTGACCTTCTCTCCACCTTTCCGCTTACACTCAGCACTGGGACATCACACCTTCAACGTGACCCTCCGCACAGGAGAAAGTACTCTGCTCCTGACCCCCTCCGTATCATATCAGAAGCAGAGTGCTCCCTACTCTATTGGAGGCTTCCATTTACAGCGATATCCTGGTATTGGGTGCCATCAGAAAGGTAGAGAGAAGTTTTGGGGCGTACTTGACGTGGGCGCTCATGTTGGAAGGACTGTCGGAGTGCCTGCTATTTCTTAGGAACAGGCAGGAGCTGGACTCGCTACTGATCAGAGCAAAGAGGCTTTCAATCACTCGGCAGAACATGTGTTCCGGGAATGCCCGTGTATAGAAAAGCCGAGAATCATGTTTCCAGCACGGCTGCCAAACCCCTTCCTGGACGGAGGTCGCTGACACCGTGAGAAAAGAACGGCGCTGGTGTATGTGTGCAGCCAGCCTGCTCCGGAGTCCCTCTATACTGTAATACTAGCATAATATAAGATCCATATAGGACAATGCTCCTCAGATGCTTCTCCTAGAAGTCTAAGACCCCGTTCACACGTTGCGACATACCTTTTGCAGCGGATCCGCACGGCCGGGATAGCTCGACTTTCGGGGGCGACGTTCCAGCGACGACCTTCTCCGTCGGGCTCCATAGAAAAAGGGCAAAATCG